GAACTTCTCACTTAAAACGTCATATTGAAAAATGTGAGAAGATTAAAACTGAAGATGTGGGTCAAATGATTTTAGACATGCAAGGGAAGTTGACTTTATATATAAATATAAGGTTATTTTCACTTTTTTATTTTTCTTCAACCCACTCTTCATTGCTTTTGTCTTTTTCAATTTCCGTTACATTATTTTCTTTCTCTCTTACCTTTTACTTCTTCAAATTTCCTTAATCTTTTTAATCAATCTGATTTTTCAAACTTTTTAACCAATTTGACAAACACAACTAATTTTTCTTCTTCTTTATCTTTTTTTTTTAAATATTCTACATCGATATATTTTTTTGATTTTATTATTCTTATTTTTCATATATCAAAATTTATCTTAATAAAATAATTGTATTTTGAAAGATTAAAAATAATTAACAATTAAAACTTTTATTACTTTAAATTAATTTATTAAATATGTTCTTATTAAATAAAAACTTGAAAAAGTAATTAAGTTACATATATATATATATATATATATATATATATAATCAAATGTTTAAATATAATATTATAATATATAATAATAATAATAATAATAATAAGTATTTTATATCCTTATAAAGAAAAAATCATTAAATATTTTTTTATAAACATATTTTAATATAAATATAATAAATATATATAATAAAAATAATTAAAAAATATATATATTTATTTATATAATATATATATATATATTAAAATTAATTTATTATATGTATAATTATTATTTTAGAAATGGTGTAGAATGAAGATAGGTCAGGTGGGGAAACTTGGAACTCAATAAAAATTGGGATGAAAATTTAATTTTTAATATGGATGGAAATTGAGAATTAGGAGCCAAAATGAGAACAGTTACAAAAGTTGAGGACAAGAATAAGATTAAGAAGATAAAATTATAGATTATTTTTTAAAAGAAAAAGGGATAGAAAATAAAATAAAATTTAAATTTAATTAATAATGTTAAACATGCTTATAAATATTTTATATAATATATTTATTTTTATATAATAATTTGTTTTTATATATTAATTCTATAAGATTCCTGGTTTTATCCTGTATACAAGAGTACTTTAATTATCTTTATTTTTTAAATTGTAAAAAAATTAGTTTAAAAAGAGAGAAATCGGAGGAATAGTCAGTTAAATTTATATATATATATATATATATATATATATATATATATATATATATATATATATATATATATATCAGACAAAATATTCACCAATTGAGGTGATTTTGTTAAATTTTATTTTATATTTAGTATAATAAACATGCATGCAGCTGTCTTTGATTAAAATAAAATAAAAAAATAGGAACTCAATGAGTTTAGGAAATTCCTAAAGACACACCTGCTAATATTAAAAAAAAAAATGGAACTGTTGTTCTTCTATTAAAGCCATAATAAATAAATAATTATTTTTTAAAGAAAAATAAAATCCAATGTCTTTTTTGACGCATTTTTATGCAAATCAAAATATATAATCCGCGTTGCTATGTACTGTAAAAGGAAGCAGAGGTCATTTCTGCATAAAAAATAAAAATAAAAATCGTTGGATCGTTGGAGACTTGACACGTGGTTTATGGAAAATTTCTTTAGATAAAATTTAATTTGATAAAATTATTTTTTAAAAGAAAAATATATTGTCTATAAATTAAAATAACTTGATTAAAATAGTTTATCAATGACTAATTTTTTATTTTTTGTGTTAATCTATATAAAAGTTGGCTTTAATTTATAAATAATTGTACTTTATTTATTATAATTTTAATTTTTTAAATAAATTCTATATAAAATTTATATTTTATTCGTTTACGATGGTCTCATACAAAGTTTGAATGTGGGTGAGAGATTATATGGCATGGTGGTGCAGAGGTGTTGGTGGAAACTCTAAATTTACTAAAATAAATTTATGTTGGTAGTTAACTTTTCTTCTTTTGCCAGAAAGGAAAATATGCCGTAAACTTTAAATTGAGAGAGATAATTAATTTAAAATAAAATATATTTTTTATTGTTAAATGTTATTTATTAATATATTAATATTTTTTAATATCAAAAGAGATGATAAATAAGTTAGCTACGGGGTATATGAATAATTTTATAATCCGTGCATTTAAAAAAATATTTATATATTAAAATAAAAAAAATTATATTTTTTATTATGTTATTAAAATATATAAATATATTATAATATAATAATTTAAATTATAAAAATTTATTAATTAAATTTAATTTATTAATTATAACTAGTTATTTTAATATATTAATATAATATATATTTTTAATTTATCTAATAAAAATATTAATTAATAAATGAAATCTTAAAAGTTATTTATATAATTAAAAATATATTTTTAAAAAATACATATAAAAATTATTATATAACAAAATTATTTGTGGCTCGTTAACCTGTTCTTTGGCATACCAGAATGAGATTTGTAATATGGTGAACTGATTCCTTTTACCCCTAAATATCATTATTAAAAAATTTTACATTGATTAGATATATGATAATATAATATTATATAGGAAAATATAATACTCACCTTACCGAGTCGATTTTGTAGAATTAAGTTAAAGATTTCATAATTTTTAAGATGTTGTTAAAGTCAACTTTTGCAAGAAAATGGTTGTGAACTAAATCATTCATTATCAAATCAATATTAGATCACTTATCTTCTATAGAATAGAGTATGATAAAAAATCTTTTTTATTATAAGAGATGATACGTTAACTAGAGATATAATAACATAATAATATAAAGCTGAGGACAGTCTTCACCCACCCGAATTGATTTTATATGATTTAGATATATCACAATTTGTAAGTGTAATTATATATATATATATATATATATATATATATTATAAATCATTTTATATTCTTTAATTAAATATAATATATTAATAATAATAATTTTTTTATTCCTAATTAAATATAATATATTAATACTAATAGATATTTTGTTACTTATTTAAATACACTATTTTTTTCTTAATTAAGTATTTTACCTCACACTTATATTTGTCCTATAATTCTTTTATTATGAATTTTAAAATTAAAATTTCATAAAATTCAAATTAATACGAATTAAAACAATCTAAATTTCAAATTATCTAGATTAAAAAATATTATTTTTAATGATAATATAATAATAAGTATTTAAAAATCCATTAACATAGGAAAAATATTAGTAAATATGTTGATTAATATTTTTAATATAAAAATATAGTTAGTATTATAATTTTTAAAAATTGTAACGTAAAGAAAAAATAACATTAATATTGAATACTAATAAAAGATAAAAATCAAAATTAATGATAGAATAATATTATAATGTTATAAAAAAAAGTTACTACAACAATAATATAATACTATAAAATCGAAAAGAGCTAGTAAAAAAAACGCATAGTAAAAACAATTCTCTAAAAATTATATAGAGGGAAAACATAATCTATAAAAGTAATAATTTTTTATATAATTTATTTTTAAATATAATTTTTTTCTCATGTTTAATAAAAAATAAATTAAAAAAGAAAATTCTCTTTATATATAATATTAAAGATAAATAAAAAGTGTACAAAAATATTACAATAATAAAATAATCAAATAAAAGTTAAATCGTTAAAAATACAATTTTTATTTGGTAAATATATATTCTAATACATTTGTTAGTGTCTTATTGTTTAAGAGTCGAAATTAAAAATAATATATATATATATATATATATATATATATATTAATTTATTAAAATGTATTTTAACTACAAAATCGTGATAGATTAGAGTTTTAAAGTGCACGATACGATCCATGCCATCTATTTTTTTATTTCTTACTAAAAATTAGAGAGATATAATTCTTACTATTTTAATCATAATTAAAAATAATAATAAAATCATTACTTTATTAGATATTTCTAAAACACCATCGCCACTACCACGCATATCTATATTCAGATTTGAGGGGGAAAATCTAGATAAATGTTATAGATGGAATAAATAAATCTTATATCATCATATAGAAATAATAAATATATTATCAATACCAATGTTAAAATTTACTATTTTTATAAAATACGAATGTCAGTCATTAGGAAGCTATACTAATGTAATTGGAAAACTAATTAAGTTAAGGAAAACTATCATCGAGAAGAGTTATGGACTTAGGTTATCTTGACTGAATTCCATAAACTCCTTGTGTCTTGTTATTTATTCTTGTTTTACAGTGTATTTGTGTTTTCTCAACAACTAGAATCAAGAGTCTAGTTTTTTCACGCAGGTTGGAGGAATGGCATAAGACAAGAAAGTGATGATTGACAAGGTCAATGGAAGAGTCACTAGTGAACTCAAAAGGATGTACCAATACAGAGGGACTCACACCTTTAAAGGGTTAAGAATGATTTTTGTATTGAAAGTCTTCGTAACAATAGATCAGGTAAGCGTATTTCATTATGATTAATAGTGGTATATAAAAGGATTACTAGTGAGCTTGTGGAGATGTATTAACATGAAAGAATTCATATTTGAGAGGGAGATAGTTCAGAAATACAAATATGAGTCAAGATCTCACATTATGTCAGAATGATGAAGTTGAGTAATATATAAGAAAGAAATACTCATAACTTAATATCTTAAGATTTTTGGTTAAAATAGTGTCAATCCTTTATGGGAGTTTGACTCATATCTTATTGGTATGTCTCTCTTTCAGATTACGGATTTTTTATGAAAAAATCTTTTAGGACGTGTTTATTGTGATGAACGGTTGGAGTATGCTTGGCACATATTCTTTACATATCATTGCAGTGACGTGTCATTGGCAAATTGTTGGTTTATGGAACTACATACAACCAGTTGGCAATTACAGAGAGTTTTCATCAAGCTTCAGTTCACTTTCCATGTAGATGGTGATAAAAAAACATTATTCATCAAGCTTATGAAAAGGCCGAAATGAAGAAGCTTCGAGTTGAGAGGATCATGAAATGGATGCAAATTATGTGGTTCAGAAAGCAAGACAGGTGTTGAAAGATTGGAGTGCTGCTTAGAGAATCAATGTTAATACTCATATTGCTGCTAATATCAGCTGTGTCAGGTTAGATTACGTGGGGAGGATAACATTATAATATAATATACGAGTGAATACAATCCTTTATGGTTTTACATGGTTCAATTAGATTCCTTCTACTTATAAGAGATTGCACCTCCATTAGGCTTTGTAAAGTGGAAATGTTTATGCAAGTTTTCATGAACAAATGCAGAAAACAGGATGGGGCTTTTGCATTAGAGATGATACTGATTCTTTTGTAAAGGCCGAGACAAATTGGATGATGCCCTGTGGTTGAAGGGGAGGCTTTGGGACATTAAAATGCTTTTAAAATGGGTTGTAAATGCAAGACAGTGGTGGATACACTAAAAACATCATAGTTTGGATTATTCTCAGTGTTGCAATATCCTTTCCCATTTTTCAAATGGAGTTCATTAGGAGATAAACTAACATAGTTGTTCATATAGTTACTAATGCAGTTGTATCAAACGTAAGTCCTTACATTTATCATCATTATTTTATTTAGTTTTTTATAGAAATATTTTCCACTAAGAATATGATTGCTAGAAAAATTATAAATTGAGATACTTTCTCACTCTCTAATTATAAGATTATTTTAAGAAAATTGTCCCAATTTGAAGGCTCTTGTTTAATAGTTCATTACATTAATTATCTTAGGACCTAAATATCCTTGATTATTTAAAAATTATTATGATATTTTATTATTGGTTTTACTCTTCCGGGTTATGACTGTTAAATTCTATTTAAAATTATCCAAAACATGGGACAAGTAGCATTTTATTAGATGTAAGTCATGGGCATGTGATCATCAATTATGTTGGATCGATAGTTTCTGTCACTGTTTGCCATGTTTCTGGCTGATGGAACAGGAAAGGTAATATAGGCTGGCTCAAGGGCCACACTATAAATGGAGAAAACTCATGGTTTGATTTTTGGGTCTACCTTTGCTGCATCTTTGGTCACGGGACACGAACATATGCAAACTAAGAAAACGAAAAATGATCACTAATACTAATAAACTAATACTATAAAACTATAAAAAGGATGAATTTACTGCGAACACACACACCCCTAGTCGTGACTTGTCAACCAACTCCACCTCCAACCTTTTCAGCACATAAACATTCGTTCCCATACTCCACACCCATTTTTGTAACTTCGATGCCCGTGTTTTCCATTGTTCATCCGTGACTTTTTCATTGTTTATGTGCGTTCTGTGGGGTGCGTTCTGTCTTTCTCTTTGTCCTTAGTTAATAAGACAACAACAGTTTGTACTATTACCATAGCTCATTCATTCTAACCTCTCACTCTCTTTTTTCTCTCTCTCCTTCTTGAATTCCGGATGGTGTTGTGTACCACCTTAGGAATTTAGATTGCTTTCCCTGTTTTCAAATCCAAACCTTTGCTTTCACGAGATGAGTTTCAGCGTCACTTTTGTTGGCTGCACCTGCACTGCACTCTAACCTGCTTTGTTTTCTAGTGCCTATATATATTTATATATTCTCCTTCACATGTCTACGCTGTCTTAACTATTTCCCTTATTTGTCCTCCTCTCTCTCTCGTTCTCTCCATTTATGTTCCACACTCTATTCATTTTGGAAATTTTAAGTATATAACTACCTTCTCATTTGTTTTTCTTATTAAGCTTTTTCAATTTATTAATTATTAACTTCGGGATTTTGTTCCAACTTCCAAGTGTAATTGGTTATTAGACTTGTTAATTATTAGCGCTAGTTGAATTGAGCTAGTCTGCTGGTAATGTCTAACGCTTTTGGGTTCCTGCTATGCTTGGTTTACTGTTCTTTAATTTTGTTGCTTTAACTTTGAATTTCTCAGGAGGATGAAGGCTTTCTTGTTTGTATTTGTGGCCTTTGTGTTGTGTGATTGTGCTATTGCTAAAGAGTGCACAAACATTCCTACACAATCTCATACATTCAGGTATGAGCTACTGACATCCAAGAATGCAACATGGAGGGCAGAGGTGATGTCTCACTACCATTTGACGCCAACGGATGAAACTGCTTGGGCTGATTTACTGCCGAGGAAGTTCTTGACAGAACAAAACCAACATGATTGGGGGGTGATGTATAGGAAAATTAAGAACATGGGTGTGTTCAAGTCACCTGAAGGATTTCTGAAAGAAGTGCCTCTTGAGGATGTGAGGTTGCACAAGGATTCAATCCATGGTAGAGCACAGCAGACAAACTTGGAGTATCTGTTGATGTTAGATGTTGACAGGTTGATTTGGAGCTTTAGGAAGACAGCTGGTCTATCTACTCCTGGGACTCCTTATGGAGGGTGGGAAGGTCCAGAAGTTGAACTTCGGGGTCATTTTGTTGGTTAGTTTATTCCATTAATCATCTTAACTGTTACTATTTTCTTTTTCTTTTTTCTTTTTGCCATATTATAACTTGTTTCCCCAGTTTTATGCTATTTGTTTATACTCACCTCTTACTTGCTAATGAATTCCTATAAGGAGCGGATCCGGATTCCCTGTATTCATTTTTTTCCACATATTCAAACATTCAACTACTATGAACCACAAGATGAAGATCTGACGACTCAAGTTTTATCTTGGCAACTCACACTTGAAACACATTTAAAATTTGAGTCATTTGATCTTTATCCAACAGTTAAAATTGACTGTATAAATGCTAGAAAAATAAACTTTTGCCGAATCCAATTGCTAAGGAGGAAAGGCCTAATATGCAATCAAAACTTAATAACTTTGTAGTTGGTTGGTTTCTTTCATAGATTCAAAAGGGCATAACCGTTGAAGACTCTTTTTCTTGTAATGCTTTTTCTCCACCTTTTGGCTCAGAGCTGAAAAAAGATTGAACTGTTTGTTGAATAAAAATTGAAGTGAAAGACAATCTTCACTAGTTAATGTTTTGCTATCTACAAACAGCAACAGATATTTTCAAGCTTTGTAAAGCTTGTCTTTCTATATGTAATGCTTACTCTACAGGACCCCTTGTATTTCAACTACTGACAGTATTTATTTACTAGGATTCAGGTTTACTCCTAACTAATGAAATATCCTCACACACTGATATGTTGACACACAAATGCATGTTTGTCTCATCAAGCACACTACCTATGCCTGCAACTTTGAGGCTCTTTCACTTTTCAAAGTTAATTTAAGATTGTTTGTTTTTGACACTGCGAAGGGCATTACTTGAGCGCGTCAGCCCTAATGTGGGCCAGCACACAGAATGAAAGCCTGAAGCAGAAAATGTCATCTCTTGTTGCTGGCCTGTCTGATTGTCAGGAGAAAATAGGAACTGGATATCTATCTGCATTTCCATCTGAGTTGTTTGATCGATTTGAAGCTGTTCAACCTGTTTGGGCTCCCTATTATACTATTCACAAGGTACAATCAAAATTAGATTTTGATTATGAAAGTGCTTTTGACCTTATGTTGTGGGATTTCAAATATTCAGCCTTGACAGATTTTGGCTGGCCTCTTGGATCAACATACATTTGCTGGAAACCCTCAAGCTCTAAAAATGACAACATGGATGGTTGATTACTTCTACAACAGAGTACAGAATGTAATAACAAAGTACACTATAAATAGACACTATCAATCACTGAACGAGGAAACTGGAGGAATGAATGATGTCCTTTACAGATTATACAGTATAACAGTAAGTTAACTGGTTTGGGTAATTTCTATAACTCTATTGTTGTTTTATTTGTATAATGTTCTTGAATTGTATAATTCTTATATTTTAGCATAAAGGTTAACAGAAAGAAACGAATTATAATCCATACTTGAGATATTATTTTATAAACGTTGGCTTACCTATAATGGTTTTCCTGATTATAGCACAAGGTGCCCGTAAACTTCAATTTGGAAGTAAATTTGTCGTGTTTTTCTATGCAGGGAGATTCCAAGCATCTGTTGTTGGCTCACCTTTTTGACAAACCGTGCTTTTTAGGGTTGCTTGCAGTGCAGGTAACGCTAACAGTTTTCTATATGACATAATAGCTATTTAGTCCACATACTCTTATTTGAATGTTGAACTTGGGACTTCTTGTTCTGGTCTAGAAATCGTATTTGCTTTTGAATCATGCCCCAAGAGTTAATTTTAAAACTCTCGTTTCTCATGTAGGCTAACGACATTGCTGATTTTCATGCTAATACACATATTCCAGTTGTTGTTGGATCTCAAATGCGGTATGAAATCACAGGAGATCCACTTTATAAGGTGATTTGCTTCACTCACGTTGTAGATTACTGATATATATTTTATCAAGTTTGAATGGAACTGTATTTATCAGCTTCTTATAGGTGTAATATATTTATTTTATTTTTTTGTTTGTAATTTATACTCTTTACTTATTTATGCTTTCAACAATCTAGCATAATTAGTCAATGGCTTGCCAAATTAGCCTATTCACTTGCTAATATAATATGAAGACAAGAGCCATTCAAAGAACTCCATTAATATGTTTGAGCATTCAGTCTGTCATAGTTTGGGGAGTGTACTTGCATCCTGAATGATAGAAACTAGTACAAATTTGGTAGTGGCTTCCTCTTCCCTTTTTTAATTTAGTAACTATTTGGTTCGTTCGTACTTCCAATTTTACATGTCTATTTATTCTGTCAGTGTCCTTTTAGTTTTTTACTTTTGGTCTCATTTTGTAAATTTTCCTATAATGCTGTATTGCATACTATGCAGCATATCTGTCAAATTCATCTTTATTCCTAGCATTTCTTTGTTTGATTCCCTTTAGTGGGTAATGTTTTGTATAGTTGAATTGAAAGAAATATTTTAGCCCGGTATAACTTAACATTTGTGATGCCTTTCCACTTTGTGAAATTTGTTCGTTTACTGGTGTTAGGCAATTGGGACATTCTTTATGGACCTCATAAACTCTTCTCACAGCTATGCAACAGGAGGGACATCAGTCAGCGAGTTTTGGTATTAAGATTTTGCATTTTCAGTTTGTTTTTTCGTATGCATTTGAAATTATCCGTTGAATAATTGTTTGCTACAAGGTCATCAAGTGGAAGTGTTCTGTTCTTAATTTGCTGATAACAAGTTCTTGATTTCTTTCGTAAATCTTTTTCTTCAATTTTGCATAGGAGTAATCCAAAGAGAATAGCGGACAACTTAAGAACGACAGAAAATGAAGAATCGTGCACCACTTATAATATGTTGAAGGTACAACCAATCATTCATAATTTTATTAGCTCGTCACGTAATGCTTGGGAAGTTAAAAATGTGTATATGAAATTTTTCTCATAGTCATTTTAACTGCCAGAAGTGAGAAAACTGATTATCACATGGTAATTCATCATTACATGTTCTTGATTTACGTCTTTATGTGTGTTTGTAAATGTTCCCATTGTCTTAGCACGCAAAAATAAAATGATTTCAGGTTTCACGCCACCTCTTTAAATGGACCAAAGAAGTCTCTTATGCAGACTATTATGAGCGTGCCTTGACCAATGGAGTGCTCAGCATTCAAAGAGGAACAGATCCTGGAGTGATGATTTACATGCTTCCACTAGGTCCTGGGGTTTCCAAGGCTAAAACTGGACATAGTTGGGGAACACCGTTTGACTCTTTCTGGTGCTGCTATGGAACAGGTATACGATTGTTTTGTTTTATACTTTCAAAACTGCATCACAGTGCACCATATTCTGTGCCAACTCCACCATACTCCTATCAGTCCTTTACTTTCATTCCTTTTTTGTTTATTAGGAATTGAATCATTCTCCAAGCTGGGGGATTCTATCTATTTTGAAGAGGAAGGGAAAGATCCTGCACTTTACATCATTCAGTACATATCAAGCTCGTTTAACTGGAAATCTGGCAAAATTTTGCTCAATCAAACAGTTGTTCCAGCTGCTTCATGGGATCCTTACCTACGAGTGACATTTACGTTTGCTCCTGTAGAGGTAACTGTGACATTGTTTTATGGGCCTCGGCATCTCATTTAGCTAAATATTCATCTCTTATACCTTTTAGAGTAAGCGTCCTCATGATCTGGGAAAGATTTGGTCTGTTTCTGTTGTTCTAAACCCTTCTGCACTAATGATTTCACTTTTCAATGTTAGGTCATGTTCGTAATTATTTTAGTTTGTTTTGAAAATTACTTGATGATCAATATATCATGGTCATCTGTGATGTGAAGAAGAAATTATACTTTCTAGGAATAGTCTAAGACTAGTAAGTTGTTCTTTTTGTAAATTATTATAATGCATCACTATGTACATGAACATCCCAACTATGTTGGCACCTCCTTGCATAACAATCATCATTAGTACTAGTCACACTTCATTTCTCTTAATTTTGGCATTGAAGAAATTTACTGGTTTAATTTGCATCGTGATACAAATGATGCTTTTATTTGAATTTTAGTCTATCTCATCATTTTTTACCTCCACCATTTATTAATGAACTAGAAAATTTCACACAGTATAGAGGAAATGAACTAGAAAATTTCACACAGTATAGAGGTTAAGAACTGCCTCATCAAGGTGGGTTATTAGAGGAAAATAATTTCATTATAACTGATCTAGTCTAGACCTGCTTTAGGTACCCTATACTGCTTTAGTGCCTCAGTGAGAAAAGCCGTCTAGACCTGCTTTAGGTAGTAAAGAGGGTAAGAATGTTTGTCCAACAAATATGTGAAGGTAGGGGCCTCCTCTAACGGTACTCAAACGTCCAAGTCACTATGAGAACCACTTGGGTGATACTGTATGAAAAGAGAGAGTCTATCTGACAGTGTAGGAGGTATCCTATATATAGGTTTTGGATGCAGGCGAGTCATAGTCTGGCATCTAAATACAGCCATGATGTAAGTCATTGAGTGAGACCAGAAGCATAGAGTGTTCTGGAACCCGTAACATGGGAGGTGTGAATCAATGCCTCAAATTGTGTGTTTTTAGGCATGTGAAACATCGTGTCATGTTGGCTTCTAGTGGTGTATTCGATTTTGGATTAGTCCCCGGCCTGCAAACAGAACTTGGTGGTGAAGGCCTATTGAGGTAGAACCAAAACAAGAACAAAATTGAATATCAAGAGTTGCTTATGACAATTTACTCTTAATTGCTAAACGAAGCAGCTAAATTATGATGGACAGGGTACAATATTTTCTAATGAAATGTAATAGATTTGTGGGACTTACAATGTAAATTTCAAAACCATATTTGAGAACAAACAAACAAGATATGAAATGTAAGATCCTCTACATTTTTCTTCTATAGCCTAAGTTTTCAAATCTTTACTTCTGCAGAGTTCTTCGTCTACATTGAACTTTCGACTACCAAGTTGGACTCGTCTGGATGGTGCCAAGGGCATACTAAATGGTGAATCTTTATCGCTGCTAACTCCAGGTGTGAATCTCTCCATTTATCTGATTTACACACTGGTGGCTGGAACTATCAACCACTAAATAATATTTTAGTTCTTTTGCAGCAAATAATAGTATTCGTGTATTTCTTAACAGAAAGAATCAACACTTCAAACATTACAGTAACGTTTTTATTTTGTGGACCTCCAGGAAGTTTTTTGTCAATCACTAGACAATGGAGTGCTAATGACAAGCTCACCCTTCAGCTGCCCCTTACCGTAAGAACAGAGGCCATAAAAGGTGGCTTGACGAGATAGTCGATGAGTGTTGATTACTATAATTTCTAATAAAAAAAAATGGTTAAATTACTGATTCTGTTTTTTGAACTAAATCCAGATGACAGGCCTGAATATGCATCTGTTCAGGCGATTCTGTATGGTCCCTATCTTCTTGCGGGTCATGCAACTGGTCGTGATTGGTACCTTAAAGCTGGAACAAACGATGCAGACTGGATTACTCCTGTTCCTGCCAGTTACAATAGTCAACTAGTTTCTTTTTACCAAGACTTTGAAAAATCAACTTTTGTGTTGGCAAATTCAAACCAATCATTTGCAATGCAAGAGTTGCCTGAATCTGGCACTGATGTGGATCCTAGGGCAACCTTTAGGCTCGTCCTAAAAGAATCTTCCTCAATGTTTTCAACATTGGCAGATGCTAATGATAGATCACTGATGCTAGAACCATTTGATCTCCCTGGAATGAATGTGATTCACCAAGGAGCAGACAAACCTCTTGTCATAGTAGATTCTTCCCTTGGGGGCCCATCTTCTGTTTTTCTTGTGGTACCAGGGTTGGATGGAAGAAATGAAACCATATCTTTAGAATCGCAGAGCAACAAGGGCTGTTATGTGTATAGTGATTTGAGCTCTAGTGCAGGAGTCAAGCTCAGTTGCAAATCCAATTCTGACGCTTCTTTTAACCAAGCAACAAGCTTTGTTGCTCGGGAAGGATTGAGCCAATACAATCCAATCAGTTTTGTGGCTAAAGGGGTAAACAGGAATTATCTTTTGCAGCCATTACTCACATTTAGAGATGAGCCTTACACAGTTTATTTTAATATTCAAGATTCATAGAATTTTTTTCCCTTTAAAGTAACCAGTATAATGTGCTTCATCTATAAAGGTTCAAGTAATCGACATGAAAATGTAGAAAGAATAGATATCTTCCTGTGTTTGGTGGTGTTATTAGATGTATACTTAGTGATAATCAGAATTAGTAAATCGGAAGCCACCTATTCCTTCCTTTGTATTCATTTATAGAAATGGAAAGAACCGAGGGAAAGGGAAGTGACGATATATCTCATTACTTGGGAGTTTTATCAAAATTTAGTTGCCATGTGTTATGTAATACTAATTTGATATATGAATTATTTATATTAAACTTATTTATTAATTGATAGAGCATTAACTTTTTAATTGATCAACCACATGCTTCAAGATATGTCATATCATTAATAAACAAACAGTCCTTGTCATTTTCGGTTTTGAGCAAAATAGGAAAAATAATGATTTGGGAGAAGAGTTGAAATCAGATACTTTTGGACGGAAAGAGAAAGAAAGAGAATTTGACAAGTATTATAAGCAAAACTTATTTTATTATAATTTATAACATACATATATCATTGTGACTGGTTACATGAAGCTTTTTAATATTTTTTTTAAAAACATGCATGTTTTTTGTTTGCATAAGTTATATACATTAATTAATTTACATTTTCCTTTTTAAATTAAAAGTTGAGACTGAGTTATATATATATATATATATATATATATATATATATATATATATATATATATATATATATATATATATATATATATATATATATATATATATATATAATATGTAGTGGGTGAGTAGAGAGAATTTGAAATTTATAAGAAAAAATTTAATTCACAAAGTTCAGAAGACATTAAATTTCATCAATTCTTAATATTTTTTTTAAAATATTTTTATATTAGTAGTGTAAAGTATACGAAGAAGTATTGATAAAAATATTTCCAAAAACCCCTGTCTTGTATTGAATATGATAGCACAATATATACATGAAATACAGAAACATTCTAGGCTATAATTACGCTAACCATTATAGTCGGTATCCTAAATTTGTCTATTAACAGATATGACATTAATGTGCATCACTGTGCATCGCTGTCATGCCAAGCTAAATATGGAAAAAATTAATCATGTAGAATCATGGCATGATACTGGTATTTGTAATCGTATATTCTATGTTTATCACCCTCCCTCAAGATGGAGTATGAAGGTTGTGAATGCCCAACTTGCCTAAAAAAGAACCAAATTTAGTGGCGCCAAGAGATTTGGTGAAGAGATCACCAGCTTGATGATGAGTGGACACATAGGAGGGTTGGATATGATTGTGTTGTATTTCATCACGAATAAGATGACAATCCACTTCAATATGTTTTGTCCGTTCATGAAACACAGGATTCTTGGCAATGTGAAGGGCAGCTTGGTTGTCACAGATAGAGAGTCATAGGATCGGTGTGAGTAATGCCTAGGCTCGAAAGAAGGTCTTGAAGCCATTTCAACTCACATGTCGTGTTGGCCATAGAACGATATTCTCGCCTCAGCGGATGATCGAGAAACCGTATGTTGCTTCTTGGTTTTCCAGGAAACGGGGATTGACCAAGGAAAATAAACCAACCTAGGTGAGAGATCTTCGAGTTAGAGGACAACTTGCCCAGATCCGAGTCACACCAACCATAAAGACGAAGGTCACTCTCTCTTTTTAAAAGCACACCCTGACCTGGGCTGCCCTTTAAATAGCGTATCACGCGGAGTGCAGCCCGCCAATGCTCCTGACGCGGTTGGTGCATGAATTGAGATAGGACATGAACACTGTAAGATAATTCAGGTCGTGTAAAACACAAGTAAATAAGGCGACCGACGAGACGTCGATATTGACTCGGGTCGGAAAGTAGTTCGCCATCGCCCAATGCTAAACGATGATTTTCTTCGATTGGCGTGGACACGAGTTTCCCTCCAAGCAATCCCGCTTCAGCTATGATGTCCAACGCATACTTCCGTTGACACAAGAAAATTCCTGTAGGAGATCCGGCAACCTCCACCCCAAGAAAGTATTTTAATTTCCCTAAGTCCTTCATACGAAAACATTGATGAAGATAATCTTTGAATTGCACAATGTCTTCATGATGATTGCCAGCAATGACTAGGTCATCCACGTAAACTAACACAACCAGTTCGACATCTCCTTTGCGAAAGATGAACAAGGAGTGATCGGACGAAGAACGTTGAAACCCATATTGAACAAGAGCAGTTGAGAGCTTGGCAAACCAACACCGAGGAGCTTGACGAAGACCATAAAGGGACTTGCGGAGACGACACACCATACCCTTTTGAGACACCAAGAACCCCGGCGGCATTTTCATGTACACATCTTCCTCAAGATCGCCGTGCGTAAAAGCATTATGGACATCCATTTGATGAAGTTCCCAGCCTTTGGCTACCGCCACTCGCCAACACCTGTCCGAATGGTGACCATCTTTGCCACTCGGGCAAAAGTCTCGTCATAGTCAATCCCCTCAACTTGGTGATTTCCCAAGACAACTAATCGGGCTTTGAAGCGTTCAACGCTCCCATCGTAATGATATTTGATTTTATAAATCCACTTGCAACCCGGAGGCTTCTTCCCTGCTGGTAGAGGAGTAATGTCCCATGTTTCATTACTTTGGAGGGCCTGAATTTCACTAGCCATGGCATCTCTCCATCTAACATCCCGAACAGCTTCAAAGAAATGCACGAGTTCTCTCTCCGCATGAAGGGTCGCAAGAAAGGTTCGGTGGGGGAAGGAGAATTTAGCACAATTTAAGTACTTTGTCAAACTGTAAGGCATACCCGAGGAAGCTGAATGTGGAGTGCGAATTGAGGGACCGAGTTGTAAAGTGGTGTTAGTGACATAATCACGAAGCTTCACGGATGGCTTTCGTACACGAAGACCTTTCCCCAGGGATGCGAGGACAGTATGCTCCTCAGGAACCTCTAGTTCCGTCATCATAGAGTCGGCTTGTTCCGGTGGGAGAACGATCCGGGTGGGAGGCTCTTATTCATGGCATTCAGCGTGACCCTCCCCTGAACTCAGCTGTGGGCACATCTTCCGTTGTGGGGTTAACGTCATCAGCCTCCACAACGTGTTCTCGCATTGTTCATTGCACCAAGTCCAGGCAATGCTTCCTCGACAATGCCAACATCAACAGGAGGCAATCCTACCTCTGAATGTCTACTGTGGGCAAGAGAGGCAAACGGGAATTCATGTTCTACAAACTTAACATCTCTCGAAGTCCAGAAGACTTCTCTTTCCAGATCAAACAATTTCCAGCCCTTTTTTTCTATTGAATATCCAACAAATACATTCTTGCGACTTCTACTTGCAAATTTGTCACCTTTCCTATTTTGGTTATGTGCATAACACAAGCATCCAAATACCCGTAGATGGTCATAAGTGGGTGGCTTCCCATTCAATATTTCATATGGAGTTTTTCTATGGAGAACGGTTGAGGGTGTACGATTGATCAAGTATCCTGCGGTCAAAATGCATTCTCCCCAGAATTGAAGTGGAAATTCTCCCTGAAATCGTAGAGCACGAGCTACATTTAGGATGTGTCGATGTTTTCGTTCGGCTCTCCCATTTTGCTGAGGTGTTCCAAGTGCATGAGGTTTGATGGAGTATCCCATGTTGCTCGAAAATATCGTTGAAGACACATAAACTCGGTTCCATTGTCACTTCGTAATATTTTGACTTGTTTCTCGTATTGTCGTTCTATTAAGGCGATGAAATGCATTAAGGTTTGTGACACATCTTTCTTATTATTCAAGAGATATATCCACACAGCTCGAGAACAGTCATCAACCAAAGTGAGAAAGTAAGATGCACCACAAGACGAGGGAGTTCTATATGGACCCCATACATCACAATGTATTAAATCAAATATATTGGATGCTTGAAAATCACTTAAAGGAAATGTGTTTCTGCATTGCTTTGATCTCTCACACACTTCACACACACGAGTTGTATCCGTATTTCTATTCACGTTGTTCAGATGCGGAATTTTTCTAACAATCTGGTAGGCAGGATGTCCCATTCGCCTGTACCAAATCTCTAGTTGATTTTCTGCATTGGTCTGATACGCCTTTATGCCACTCACACCACGATACCAATAGAGTCCCTCTTTTCGTTCACCCGCACCAATCAGCATCCTCGAAGTGTGGTCCTGCATTGCACAAAATCTATCAGTAAAATGTACTGTACATTTTACTTCATTCGTCAATTGTGATACTGAAATCAAATTGCAATTCAATTTCGGAACATATAGAACATGTTTAAGTTTCAGTCCTCCATCAAGGAAAACCGATCCTTCTTTGTTTGCCAGCACCAATTCACCATTTGGTAGTCCCACTGGGCACCCTTCCAAGGCTCGACTCTCCCTCAAGTTTTCTAGTGTTCCTGTCATATGATTAGAGGCGCCATCAATAATCCACAAGTCACATGCTTTCTTACCAGCTCATCTTTTCAGCTTCATTTGCCTTGCGAGAATTCAACATTGTCTGCCAAGATCTCGCCATTGCTCATTACTCGGTCCCGCGACTTCTGGTTTTTCGGTTGAACCAACGTTATCCGCACCGGTGTGCGCCATATTGACGCGAGCCGTTCCTCCTTTTCCTCGGAAGGTTCCTGTTCTTTGTTGATTTTTTTCATCGCTTTTATCGGTTCGTGGTCTCTCTCCCCACCATTCTCGGGTAACCAATGATCTTGAAGCAATTGCCTTTGTCATGTCCCTTCCTTCCACACTGCATGCAAACAACCGATTTTTCTTTCGCTTCATTGCGCAACTTGTTCCTCGGTTTCCGCTCGCATAGCCATTCCCACGATCATTCCTCGCTCTTCTTTAGACCTGGTGATTGTTCTCACCCTTTCTTCTTGCACCATGGTGCCATACACCCGATTCAACGAGGGTAATGGATCTGTTGCCAAAACATTTGACCGTGCAGTTCCATAGCCCTCATCATCTAGCCCCATCAAGAACTGATGAAT